TTTTCGCGTCGACCAATTTTCGTATCGACCAATTTTCGTTCGACTATTTTTCATTCGACCAATTTTCGTTCGACCATTTTTCGTTCGACCAATTTTCGTAGACCCTGTTCGTGTATAGTCACATAAGCAATCGATTGTTGTTTGTCATTCATCGTCTGCCTCAATTGATTTTTCAAGCCATATACTTGCCAATAATGATATTCGGGGTGAGAGTGTGTGGGTGTGGGTCTTCTTTTCCTTCTGATATACACTCACTCCCTCACTATATACTATACCAGTAGTGCAATAAAATAGCAACATATTACAAGCAGAAAAGCAACCATTTATTTCACCATGAAATCACATAACGGTACACGATACAACGATTTCTCTTGTAATCCTGTATTGAGCATAAAACTATCCTAGGCATTTGCTTCTTTTTTTCAGTTAATGATTCGCAATGACTCGTAGCAAAAAAAGGAATACTAGATATCAGAGTACTGTTCTTTCGCTAAATAGCAGCATTGGTAGTAATGGTTGTCAACACATCGGTTTTATTCTTGTCCACATCGACACTTTCCTAAATATACGATGACATCGAATGAATGCAAGAAAGATCAGAATTTGTACGTACCGACATATCAAGACTACCAGATTGTTGTCTCGACGCAAATGAATTGATTTCTTTAGACACTGTCTGTGATACCTCATTATCATTATTGTCATAGTTGTCTATGAAATGGCATTGAGGATTAGTCTGATCTTTTGCATTTGGTAATGGAAGCGATGATGATGGCGAAGTCTGCAGACTTGTTTCACTATCATCTCTACGAAGAATATCTTTGTTTTGCTTGATCAAATAGGATTTTTCTTACTCTTTTTTGTCGTTGACATTGACAATGAGAGGATCAATACATGAATTTCCACGTCCCACTTCTAGATCTTCATTTTCCTCATCGGAATAATCGTTGAAGTCAATTTTCTCGGGTTTAATGTAGAGTTTACGTTTATATACTCGTTGATACCGATCGACTAGAACTGAAACAAGCATACCAATAGTGCCTACACCACTAAATGCACATAGTACAGCAATCAGACGTCCGAGAACTGTCGCCGGCGCTATATCACCATAGCTAAACATGCAAAAAGAAAAACAAAATCATCTTTCTCTGCCTCTCTCGTTTTTCCACTTGTTGTCGAAATACAGTTTCTATGAAAACAGGCATTCTTACCCAACACTAGTGATTGTTATAATACCCCAATAGGTAGCTTTCGGTATAGAGTCGAAAACCGAATCGCCATTTGTTTTCTCGATGAGATAGACAGCTGTACCAAAGAGAAAGGCCATTAGCGTCAATGTAACTGTCAAAACAAGAAAATCTGGCAGTGATTCTTGCACCGTCATGGCAAGAACACGAATGGTTTTGATATTTTTAAAAACTCGATAAAATTTAAATATACGAGCACATCGAAGAACACGTAATAACGCAAGACTATTATAAATGCTAACACTGTGATTGTGTGATTGATCGGCAAAATTTATGATAATGTTGACATAGAATGGAACGACAGCAAGTATATCAATCCAATTCATAAAACTCTTGAAGTACTTAGATAATGATGGTGTGCTGAGTAGACGTAGAATCAGTTCAAGAGTAAAAAATCCAATACAAATCATCTGAATTCGACGAAATGGGGATGAAAAATAGGGACGACATATGCGTTCGTTCGATTGAACATCGCTAAGATTCATCGAGTCATTATTCGTTCCAATTTTATGCTGTTTATATTCTTGTGTACATGCATCTTCAGATAAATATGAATATTGTGGCAATGATTCGATTGCCAAGGTAATCGTAGAGATAAGAATAATAACTAACGAAAGAATATTAAACATTTTGGCGATGAATGAAAATTCTGGATATTCTACAGTGGCCCAAATATACCGACGACAACGATTTCGAGGTAATTGAGTTTTTTCGACTTCTTTCAAATCTTCATCTTTACGTACTTGAGCAAGAGCATCTTGACCCAAATCAAAATATGCTATTTCTTCAAGAAATGTATCAAGTGGTACCGAATTCGGTCGACGTAATCGACCCTTTGATTGATAATAATAGAGAATAGCTTCAAAACATCCTCGATGACGATCAAAGAAATATTCATCAAGAATATTATCATAATAATATTTACGTCGTTTTGCATTGCCTAACAACGTATGTGGATAGACTTCAAGAGTAGATTTGAATGTCTCAAAACGAACTCCACTTATATTAATGATAATTCGATTTTGAAGTGAAATATTCATAGGAACTTTTCGTCGTTCACTTTCGACTATCTGCTGATGAGATAGATCTCGCATAGCGATAACATTCCTGGTAAATCAATCGTTCGAGAGAAAATCATAAATTGTACGAACAGTGGAAGAAAAGGAAACAGTACGTTTGTATAGGTGTCAGTTGTAACTTTTTGATGCAATTGAGATTTTCGCTGTATTTGACTAATAACTTTTCTTTCTGTTAATCAATTTTAACAATTTCTTTATAGGTTACATGTCTCTGAATATCCTACTGGTAAAACAAGTTCCAGCTCTTTAGCTCATACTATCACTGATTTATGAGCCGTATACTTTAAAAAGTCGATTTTGTAGAGTGTGCTATGTTCGATCGAAATATATATATATTCCTCACTTGTATTCTTATTTTTCTATGATTTTTCATCCACGACACTCGATGACATACTTCGTGATTTTTGTGTAGAAGGACACTGTATTTCAATTTTCTTCTAAGTCACACAAGTTGAAGAACTTCATTAGCACAT